GGAAAGCAGCTCTGCAGAGAAGGACGTGGGAGTTGTGGTGGACAAGTTGATCGTGAGCCAGCAATGTGCCCCTGTGGCCAAGAAGGCCAATGGTCTCCTGGGCTGCGTTAGGAAGAGTGTTGCCAGCAGGTGGAGGGAGGTGATCCTGCCCCTCTCCTCAGCCCTGGTGAGGCCACATCTGGAGCGCGGTGTCCACTTCTGGGCTCCCCAATACAAGAGAGACATGGCACTACTGGAGCATCTCTCCTCTGAAGAGAGGCTGCGAGAGCTGGGCCTGTTCAGTCTGGAGAAGAGAAGACTGAGAGGCGAGCTCATCAATGTGTACAAGTATCTGAAGGGAGGGTGTCGAGAGGATGAGGCCAGACTCTTCTCACTGGTGCCCAAGCAACAGAACAAGAGGCAATGGGCACAAACTGAAACCCAGGAAGTTCCATCTGAACGTGAGGAAAAACTTCTTGATTGTAAGGGTGACCGAGCATTGGACCAGGTTGCCCAGAGAGGTAGTGGAGTCTCCTTTGCTGGAGATATTCAAAACCCGTCTGGATGTGATCCTGGGCAATATGCTGTAGAGGACGCTGCATGAGCAGGGAGGTTGGACTAGATGACCTCCAGAGGTCCCTTCCAACCTCAACCATTCTGTGATTCTATGTTTGCTGCCGCTGTCCCTGCTGCTGCTGCTGTCCCAGGGCACTCTGGGACACACCAGCACTCGTTTACCCTCCCTGTAATCCCACCAAGTCAGCAGCAGCAACCAGGCCTGTACGGACAGGAGGCAGCAATGAGCTATGATGGCAGAAATGCTCCTCAAGCACAGGCAAAGCAGCTTGCCATCCCCTTCAGCTGGGCAGCTGTCTGTTGGGCTAACTATTCAAAAACAACCTCTGAATTTGTGATTTTTCTTCACCCGCAGAACAAACTGAGCCAAAATGCTAAACCTATGCTACTGCAAACCATAGAGAAGTTTGTATCCAGAGTTGAGCTTTGGAGCCCAGAGTTGAGTTTTGGAGCCCAGAGCCACCTCTAAAAGCAATGAAGGGGTGTAGATGTGATCTGAGTTATTGACCCACTGTTTAAAGGAGAGGGCCTGCTGCCAGGATAAATGACAAAAAGCTGTTCTTCCCAAGACCAGGAAGCAAATGGCAATGAGGCTGCGGACAAGGCACTGGCAATTTCTGCTCTCCAGGCTTTAGAGTCCACTCAGGAAAGATGCCAAATGCACATTTCTGTATCCAGCTCAGATGAATTGGATGAAACCAATTACAAATAATCCACAGCACCTGGGCACTATCTCCTATCCCTTGATAATGGGATGTGAAATTGTTTTTCCCTCTCACTTTTTCCTTTGGCTATTTGTAACACACAGTCTGCATTCCCTTTAAAAGTAAGATGGAATTTCTTACCTTCTTCCTTCTTGTTTTCCTTCCTTCAGTTTTTTTTTTTCTGTGGTGTCCTCGTATGTCTAGGGGGATGGCTGGCTGTTGAATTTTTGCTTTCAGTGACCTTCACTGCCATACTTTCTCCATCAGTTTCTTTTTTCATAAAGTAGAACAAAACCTTTTAAATGCAAAAATTTTCTAGTATGATTGTATCTTCTCTTCTCAAATAACAGTTCCAATCAGAATTCCTGCATAACAACACTGTGTGGCATCTTTTTTTTTTCCTCTCTCTCTAGTTCAATCAGCATTACAAATGCTGGGCTGTGGGGCAGGGGGACACTCACTGCAGTGGTTCCCTAGGCTCCCCCTTTCATGCCGTCCCACCACAGGCCCTGGTGCAGAGGGAAGGCTGGAGGCAGGAGATAAAAAACACCAGGTGCCAATAACCTTTATGAGGAAGGAGGGAAAAAGGCCCCCACCTGCCTGCCATCATCCACCAGGCCGTGTGGGGGCCAGGGTTTGCTGCTGGGGCTGCCCAAAAGGGAGAAACAGCCTCCAGTCAGCACCTGGACACGCAGACACTGGTCGGTAGCACTTTGTCCTGGAGGTAGCTGGGAGGATTTTTTGAGATCTCTTTTCCGGCAGAAAACACTCCTCTGTCAACAAGACTGAAGATTTATTTTTGTGAAAACGTACTGGTTTAAGCAAAATTTAATTAATTCTTTTGTCAAATTTGAAAGCGAGCAAGCAAGCAGTCCCTTGCGATTGCCCAGCTAGGGCATTCAGGGCAAGGCACCAGGTAATTGGCACATGTCTCAAATGGGCTGGAATAAGTCTGTAGTGAGAAAGTCAAACTACCTGCAGATTTCCCATGTAAAATCGATATTTCTATCCAGCTTTCCTCCCTCCCCAAATGCTCTCTCCCCAAATGTTAGTGTGGGCCAGCAGCCATGGTGGGGAGCTGGGGCATGCAGGGCCAGCGCTGGCCAGAGCCTGGGTGCTTGGGGCAGCGCTACCAAGTCCCGAGCTGAACCACAGACTTCACGTGGCACGCTTCAAAAAAGGGTTTGCGTGTATGTTTTCATGAGCCAGCAGGCGTGAAGAGAGATGGGACTGAGTAGAAGTTTTTCAGCTGTCTCTCGAACCACCGATCCTGTACCTGCTGTTCTGAAAAAGCCATGCAGTGTCTCAGCCACAGTGGGGCAACAAGACTCCAGAAGCTTTTCTTGAAATCAGAACACAGCTTTTGATTTAGAGACTAATTGTTTCAGGATTGCCAAACAAACATACCTAGCAATAGGACTTTTAGTTCATCTTCAAACTACTACATAAGTTTCACAAGTATTGACTAACTGCAAATGCTACTTAAAGTGGATGGGTTACCAGGTTTTCATACCGCTGAACAGCAGATCCTGAAGAAGAAGCCTAAATGTAGAAGTAAGAGACTAAGTTAAGGCATTTATGTTTGAAAATCTTGGCTAATATTCCGTAATATCTCTGCAAAAAAGGGTAACAGTGTGCCCATGCATTTCTTAAAATCTCTTTTTTTTTTCCCTTCTAGGGACCAACTGAAGATCAATGAAATATCAAAAGGACTAACACAAACAGGAAATCTAGACCTCTGAAAGTGAAAAGCAAGCAAACTGTCCTTCTTCTGCCCTTTCCTGAAAGCTAAATGTAAGTATGCCTACTCTGAAATGCTTAATGAGTTATCACAGAATCACAGGATGGTTTAGGTTGGAAGGGACCTCTGGAGATCATCTAGTCCAACCCTCCCTGCTCAAGCAGGGTCCTCTACAGCATATTGCCCAGGGTCACATCCAGACGGGTTTTGAATATCTCCAGCGAAGGAGACTCCACTACCTCTCTGGGCAACCTGGTCCAATGCTCTGTCACCCTTACAATCAAGAAGTTTTTCCTCACGTTCAGATGGAACTTCCTGGGTTTCAGTTTGTGCCCGTTGCCTCTTGTCCTGTTGCTTGGGCACCAGTGAGAAGAGTCTGGCCCCATCCTCTCGACACCCTCCCTTCAGATACTTGTACACATTGATCAGATCCCCCCTGAACCTTCTCTTCTCCAGACTGAACAGGCCCAGCTCTCGCAGCCTCTCTTCAGAGGAGAGATGCTCCAGTCCCCTCATCACCTTGGTAGCCCTCCGCTGGACTCTCTCTAGTAGTGCCATGTCCATGGATATGCATATTATCCATAATATCAAAACCAAAGTGCAAAGAATTAAAACTGAGGTTGTCTTAAAGCTATCAGCAATACAGGATTTGACAAGTCATTCAAGTGTTTGCTATATACCACAGCATTTGAATTTCCCATGGAAAAATGTTTAGTACATACTGTCTTGGTGATCATCTTCAGCAGCATATTTTTTTCCTAGATAATTGAGAAAACCTACACTTTCAGTCATTCTTCGTTGTTTAATAGGAGAAAACATGTAATTTTGGCATTTCATGTTTGTTTAAGGAATCTTGTTTTTAATCTATTTTTATGGTCAGGAAAGATTAGGGACAGGCTTCATTAGCAAAGAGATGCCAAAAGCATTATATCCTGAGAATATAGTGAACCATCCTGTCGAGGTACTTTTGATATCCAAAATACATATCAGCACATACATCTGTTTGCACATATATGCGCATGTAAAAGTAAACACTAGTAACATTCATTGGGAAATCCATGTTTAATACTATGTTTAGTTTATCTCAATCATGGGAAGAATATGTTAAACATCACTTCAAGCCTTAATGGAAAAGTTCCTGACAAGTAGACATTAGCTCATAGTATCCACAGTCATCTTATGCCTATGACTATTGTCTGTTTTCAAGTGTGACTTTTGGAAGAAAAAATGCATTATTGCTTAATAAGCTACATTGCAGTAGAGTTCTGCATTCTGTTTTGTTTTTTAGATAGCTAATTTAAAGACTCCACATGTTAAGAATAAATCATGTAAATTCCTCAGGCATTCTGACTGCCTTTTAAGGAAGATGAGCTATACTTGATCATGCTTCTCTCCTGCACAGAAACCCTATACGATTTAACTGAAATGAAACCACTAGAGTCATAAACATGACTCTTTAAACGTGCTGTTCTAGAACGTCAGCTGTGACGAAAACCTCACTTTGTGAACCCACTGAACTTCTCTGGACGTGGAGGTGGACTGGAACAGCTCCAGGGTACTAGGACCTCTGGCAGTCATCAGCTGGTGGAGCTGCCCCAGTGTAACCATTGCACCCAGCATCAGCTACTGTGACCTGCCCTAGGATGGGTGCTATAAAAGGGTAACAACAGCAAAAAAAGTATAGCCAAAGGCTCCGGCCCACAAAACAATAATAGAGAATAAAATCCTTTCCAGCTAGTATTTAAATTCTCCCTGAGCATCCATAAGAAAGGTTTAGAGCCCAATCCATGCAGCAATAAAAAATCCCTCCAAGAGTGGTAGTGGACTCTGATAACTTTGCTGTAGAGGTTCTATAGTAGTTGATTAAAAAAATGTATAAGAACATTGCTTTTTACCTTAGTAATTTCTTCAGACCTTTCCATAAAGATCTTCCAGTGTTATATAATCATATAGATCACTTCAAAAAAGTATCATGTGTTCACTGTCTTAGAGTCCTTTACCTACAGCAGATGAAAGAGGAATACGAGCTATTAAATACTTACCAGACAGTTAAAAGCAATGACTAAGCTAGCCATTACAAATTAGCACTTAGTACTCTTATGCATGACAAAATCGCTTTGAGAAAAACGCACACTCCTCAACAGTTCACATATAACAAGGCACACAGAATTAAGAAAAGAAGCCTAAAAGAGGGAAAAGTTGTGGAAAATGTATTATTTCCTTTTTACTTTATTTCCTATTTATTTTATATATTTTATTTACTACAGTGAAGAGAGAAGCATTTCAGCAAAGCATTCAGATCTAGTTAGATTTATCCCTCAAACTAAAAGGAAACAAAACCCTATATCTATAGCAAGAATCTAGAAAATTTTCAGACTTGGGCATCAACTGAGAAAGACACTTGAAAGGCATTTTGGTCCAATAGACGTCCTGAGCTCCAACCAAAATCAACAATCTAATTGTCTCAGCTGAAACTGGGGCTTAACTTTTGGGTTTCCTGTAACTAAATCTTGCCACAAACAGTTCTGCTAAGTTTTTCCTCCAATAAAATAAAACATAGTGTATTAAGATAAATACAAGAGACAATGAAGATGAGTGTGTAGTTTCCAGTGTGAGGCAGGAAGTGGATAGTCAAAGAAAACTCGTGAAGATATCGAAGTAGGGCTTGTCAGTTCTAAATGGTTGATGTAACAGTGCTTTAAAAATAAACAATCAAACATCTGAAAGTAATTGCTAGGCTAAGGGATTTAAGTTTATTTTATTTAAGCAATAGGTATTTAAAAAATGTACTTAGAATGTCTAGCTTGCTTCAAATTGCTTTGGCTTTTCTACACTTTATTCCAGTGTCGTGGCCGTCACTACCCACCCATATGTGGTATTTTAATAATATTTTTAAATTGAAAAAAGACAATTGAAATGAACAAAAGAAGAACTATTCAGAAAGGTTACCAGAATGAAAAGTTTAATTTCAGACGCACTAATCTGATCAGCAAGTAGAGTGAAAAAATTTATTGTGCTGAATTCATAGGGACTGAGTGAGGTGATGCAAGTTAAACAACTTTATGTGGGTTTGCTGAGATCTTATCTCAAAATCAAAAGAAAACTTAAGTTCCTGAAAGTAATATTCCAGTTTATATAGTCTGATACTCTTTCTCTCCGTTCTTTCTCCTACTGAACTACCTTTTATACCTCTCAGTGTGTGAACTTCACCAACACCGTCATCTTCTCTGTCCTCAGTTTCCTCCACATCTTCCTGTGCTTTATGTTCCTCCATTCAATCCCTGCTTCTCTGATAAGAAGGATTAGTTTGCCAGTCTTTCTTTTCCGTGTCTGACTGACCAAGGTGGAAGGACTTGGTGATTTTTAGTGGAACTTAAACCACAAATCACTTATGCGTTTATGGAAATGTTATCTTACATTTACAGGTCCATTGATTTTAAACAAGAGTCGGTTGCCTAATTCCTTTAGTCACTCGTTAAAAACTATCTTTAGCTTTCTCTCAGCAGTCCTGGATGGGAGGAAATTAAAGGAGAATTACAAAAAGAAAAATCCTTTCCAAATGTAGCGATGTTATTCAGTAGTTCAGAAATTCACTTTTTGTTTTCCTGTTGGTAAATGCAGTTTCTTTAACTAACCCAAACATTATTGTGAGTAAATGAAATGGCTGCTTTTCTCTGTGTTTTGAAGAAGAGGGGCTTGTTTAGGGTTTTGGTAATGATGATTGACACAGAAAGCTCTAGTACTGAGGAACATGGCAAAATAACAAGATCAACTTGTCTTCACAAATTAGGAGATTTGCAGATATTCCACAGGTACTTGCTACTTGCTGTTAGTAACCATGATGACAAGTTTATGATCCCAGGCTGTGCAGAGGAGACACCTGAGGACCTGCTGCTCCTTCAATTCTCTGCTTCTCTAGTCCCCGGCTCCCCAAACAACCACATGTGCACACACACGTGGTCCTTTCTGACCTTTGGAGACAAGCTCTTTGGCAAGGTTTTGAACTTGTAACATGCAGTGACTACACCTTTGCCACGTGAAGGGAAGTAGCTAACTCAAGTTGCTTAGGCTGAACAGAGTGACTTTAAACCTGTGGGCAGCAGATTTTTACACTGATAGCAGAAAGTTCAGAGAAGACCAGAGCAACATGCCTGCCTGGTTTGGGAAACAGTTGTACCAAACAGTAGTGTTTTTATGGATTTTGCATTAAGCATAAATCCTCCTATTTATGTAGGACAGACAAGTGTGGGGTCTGGGAAGCTCTGAAGCATGTAGTTTGTTAACAGATAGTTCAGTAACAACAACATATAGCGGACATAGTTGCTGTCATCACTTTGTGAATGTATTCCACACGTTTTTCCACAGCTTCTACGTCCAACAGAAAGTAGCAGTAGGTGAATTCTCTACCCCAAAAGCCTCATGAACCTAATTTATCAAAGGAATCATTCCTTATAAAATCACTTGAGTTCCTTTAGGAAACACTAGCGTATTTACTATGCAGCAGTCTCTCAGGAAACGATGCCTTTCTATACTATTTTCTAGACCATAAAGCGTTCAGAAGGACCTTTGTTAACACCTTTGCCTTGTAAAGTTCAGGGATTGCTATCACAGAATGAAATAAAATTTGAGATACAGTCAGAAGAACTACCCAACTGATAGTGATAGTTTATGAATGTATCGGGTTAGTAAATAAATTGTCAGACAAAATATTTCCTGTATAGTTCAAACTTCTATTTACTTTCAAAGGAGATCAATGCAGTTGTTGGTTTTCACTTAAGTAATAGGTTAAGAATATTCTTATCCTTTATAAATTGCAATGTTGTATGCTAATAGTGTGAAATAATACAGTTCATAGTAGTATTTCATAGGAACGATTTCTGCTTTATACATCTGAAATGTCTCCTATACTTGTTCTCTGCAGCAGTCTAACTCATGATTTACAAGGGGTGGATGAATATTTGAAGACAATGCTGAAATCAGGGGTATTTTAGCTGAGAAGCTGATACTGAATGCATTTTTGGACCATTTATTCTATAGCAGCCTGTGCGTATTC